TGTGGAGAGTAGTGAGCAAATCCCTGTATATTGGGTCTTTCCTTGAGATTAGAGGGTCTGGACAATCTTCTCCCTGTGCTTCATCCAAAAGCAGAGTTGCTTTAATGATCACAGAATTTCCCATAGACAGAAGAGTGGAGAATATGTTTTGTAGGGCTGTACAAATGAGTGATTTTTAGGATTGTGAAGGGCAGGCAGATAGAAACATCTTGTATCTCTAACTGCACCGGTTTTTGGCTCTTTAGAGCTATTTTTCCTCCACAGTCAGTGTGGGTTACTGAGAGATGTAAATTGTAAAAGTCAAAAGGCTATTGACCTGGTGTTTTATGCCAGGTGTTGTGTTTCTTGCTAGGTACTGCAAATGAAAGGAAGCATTTCAAAAAAGAGGAAGAATAAAAACCCTGCTGAGCATGCCATCTTCCTTAAACCCCAGATTTTAGTTTAAAGTGGTTTCAGTCTCTCTCTGTGCCTCTGCATACCCAGGATTTACAGCACTCCTGCTCTGTGATGGTTCACTGGAACCCCAGTTTCTGATGTTCAGAAATGGCACACGGTACACACTCTAGCACATGGCTGTGCCTAGCAGGAGGGCAGTTTTCAACGTCCATTGTATTGACCCTGTAGAAAAAAGCAAACTAGTAGGGAATAATCCAACTATTCGAGTGCTGTGGTTGTGCATGCCTAGATAAGCTGAGAGCATGTGGGTAGAAAAACTTTGATTAAACTCTGGCCCCAGACAAATGTTCATGCAGTGGCCTGAATGAATATATATATATTTATTTTTTTTTCTCTAGGAATTGAAACAGAAGAAGGCCTCAGGAACAAAAAAAAATCTCTTAAATGTATTAGATTTCCATAGCCATCTAGACCTCCTGCAGCCACAGCATGGAACTTGCCTTTTGATTGGGAGTGTTGTGTGCCCCACAAGGGGCAGAGAGGGATCACATCATGGGGACTGGGATCAGTCACACCGTGCAGTGGAGATTTTGACACTGAGGTCAGAGCTGAATCCGTGGGTTTAGGGAGGCTTGGGAAAAGGGACAAAATTGCCAAGTGAATTCCCATAGTGGAGGCCTGCGGTGAGTCTCTGTGTGCTCGTAGGCATTCACAGGCGAAAGGATAATTAGTCAAGTAAACGTTTCTCTGGGTGCATGAGCTAGAAGGAGAGAAATGCACCCGCTCAGTATGCGGAGAAGCAAAGTGTGTTCCTGCAAAGAGGCTGCTCCTGCTGAGCTGCCGTGGGAATGCCGTCCTTCTCCCGGCTGGGGGCGTGGCTATGAAGCCCTGTGCACTGCTGGGTGCAAAGTGATGGATGGGAAACACAACAGTGCCTCAGCACTGCTGGGCCAGGGCTAGATACCTGCTGGCACCGAGGATGCTGTCTGTGACCCGGCTGTTTCCTGCCGTGGGAATGCCGTCCTTCTCCCGGCTGGGGCTGTGACTATGAAGCCCTGTGCACTGCTGGGTGCAAAGTGATGGATGGGAAACACAACAGTGCCTCAGCACTGCTGGGCCAGGGCTAGATACCTGCTGGCACCGAGGATGCTGTCTGTGACCCGGCTGTTTCCTTTTGGATCCCTTTTGCTCTCTGGAGGGAGCAGGCCTGACCTGTGTATGCAGTGCTCGTCACCCAGACACTTCTGTGCTTGTTGTGGGTCTGTGGTGGGGCCATAATTTGATCTACAGGGGGTCTGCTGTGCTGCTGAGGCAGAAAAACATTGCTCTGAAGCTTCAAGGTGAATTCCTGGTGTGGACTGGCATTACTATGGACTCTGGTGCTGTGCCCGTCATCATTATTCCCACCTCCAGTGTCACAGGCAGGGGTGCAGTCTCCACCAGTTGCCAGACCTTCCCAGTTGGTGGGGAGAGGGAGACAAATCTTCAGAGATGGATTCATCTCCTCTTAAGATGAGCGTCTAAGACAGGATGGAGTAAGTCACTCTTTGAAAAGCATCTTTGTTTTCCCTGGAGGTCAAGGAAGCCTTTTCTGCTTTTTGGTCTGGAGCCCAGCTTTGATATTGCTCCAACTGAGTCCTCTGGTCAAGGACCAGAGTCTGGATCCTCAGAAACACCCCAAAACATTTCTTCCCTCCTGCTGTTGATGCAAACAGATGTCTAATGTCACTGGCAGGTTACCCACAAGGAATACTACTGTCAGCAAATCAGCTTTGAAGAAAGGCAGGGGCTGGTTTTGATTTGAAGAGTTTAAGCATAATATGAACAGTTTGAACCTGAACTAGTCCAGGTGTCCAGGCTCCTTCCCTGCTGACTCTGAGGTCACATGTCCCTGTTCTGGACTGCACCAGCACAGGAGGTTGTGTGTGTCATACGTGGCACCATGTCCTTTACCATAACATGTCCTCTCCCATGCTTTCCTGCAGTCAGCATATTGAAGTTCCAAGAATTTGCTTGTGCTCAATAACTAGGAGCTATTGAACTAAGAACATCCAGCTGTTGGAGTCATGCTCCTTAAAAATGGCTGCATTCTGTCTTTTACCAGACTGTCAGAGGAAGGGTTACCATCTGAGAAGACTGGACCCAGGTAGTGGCCAGTTACAACCTTATGCATCCCTCTTGGTGAGGTTCTAGCATGGCTGGGAAACAGCTGTGTCCTTTGTGTTATCTGGCCATTCCCATGAATATCCCTTTCCTACAGCCTGGATCCTGGTCTAGCCCCTTCAGCTGGATGTTTTGAGACTGCTTCCATGTTACAGATACCGTGAGAACTAGTTGCCATTTGAGATAATAGAAAAGTCTCTGGCACAGAAAATAAGGTTGATTATTTCAAGTCAGATTGAAGGTCTCACCTACCCTCCTTTCATGTCCACAGGAGGACAAAAACAGGGTAAGCCAGTCCAAGTGGCTCCTTGATTCCTCCCCTACAGCAATTCATGTGTGGGGGCAGCCTGAGCCAAAACCAGTACTTTTGTATTTGATGGATATTCTTTCCAGTTGGTTTTCTCACCCTTTCCTGAGCCCCTTTTAGCATCCACAGTGCTCTGTGGAGAGCTACTGAGGTTGGTTCCAGCTGCTATATGTTGACTGGCACCTGTTGTCTCACACTTGTATGAAATAAGGAATAGCTGGTCCCTATTCACCTCTTCATACCACTCTCCCAGAATCCCATCCATTGTCAGTCTGGACTGTATTGTTCATCATCTGATGGAATCTGTTATCCAAGATCTCTTCCTTGGGTGAGAGTAGCTGGCTATAGCTCATAATATTTCATATATAAAGTTGGGGTTGTTTTTCTTCTGTGTACCAGTTCACTTCTAGCTTCATTTAGCTGCAACTCATATTTTTGCCATTCAGCTGCTGTATTTTGTCATTCAGTCTGGTTACTAAAATAGGATTTTTACCTTAAAATGCATGTGATGCATAATTTCTGCCTAACTACGTTCTCCTGCAGCCTGTCTTGTTTGTTTGCAACCTGCTCTAACCTTGTAAACCAGTCGTTAAACTGCTGTATTAAAGGGAAAGTGCAGCAGTGACTGCATTAGAGGAAAGCAGAAGAAATAGCATATGGTTCAGCATAGTCTGTATAATATTGAATGCAAGGTCTTGTCACCACCACCCATTTTAAGTACTGTCAAAATCTACTGGATAGTGCAAGGAAGGAGAATTTTTATAATACGTTACAACACTACATATGTTATTTGACCAATTTCTCTGAAATTGGAACCTAATTCAAGAAGCACATTTTGCCTCATGAGCAAAACATTACAAAGAGATAATATGCACTCCAGAGAGAAGGCAGGAACTGAGGAGGAAGTGACAGTGGCTCACTGGGTGATTTTTTTAATGAGAGTGAAGAGCAATCCTTTGAAGCTCGGTGACTCTGCCTTGCATGTAGATTCAGTGCCAAATTATGGGTTGCATTTTTATAGGAAATTGTGCACAAAATACAAACTCCAGAAACTGATGGACAGTATCAATTAACCTGTTCGGAATTGTATTTTATAGTATTTAGTTTCTGATGCTTTGTTCCATTTCTTGCAAAGTTCTAGTTTCTTCAGATGTAGGATCTAATATTGGATGTTTGTTTTCCCTGTGCAGCTTTACTGATTGTAAATCTAGATTTACATCACATGGATACACATATATATGCATGTTCAATTTGATCTCTAGCTTCTAGGTGGGAAGAAGTCAACATGTTTGAAAAGCAGCTTTAATTTCCCACTATGGTGATAAGTAGAGATGGTTCCAGGAGGTTTGAAGTTTGCTGTGAAAGGACTTCAGATATTTTTAGCGGTGACAGAACTGCCTGAATTCGTAGTTTCTCTCTCTCTGAATCCTTTGATGTGCTGTACCACCGAGTAGGATGTGACCAGGATTAGGTTGTCTGCAAGTGGGTGTGAGAGGGCACACTCCATGTTTGGGGAGCTTTGGGTTTTGGGGGGATTTCAGTGACAGTGAATTATGCTGTGCTGATTGATTCTGACATAAATGTCTCTGGTTAGCCACAAAACAGGTCCAGCATGGGAAATACAGTCTTCTTCATCCTTTTGCCAAGAGGAACTGGAGATTCAATTCTCCTAGTCACTCAATCTTCATTCCTTCTGAGCTGGACTTTCACATTGGTGCTTGTGAGCTTTTTAGTTTTAATCATGAGGTCAACAGGTCGACTTGGAACTCTGCTGAAACTGTAAATTTGTGTCAAATAACACCCCAAAGAGTCATCACATGAAAATGGTTTGGCACTGCTGCCAGCCCAGACTGAATTTGAACTGATGACCCACCCTCCACGTTGTATTCCCAGTATCATCCATCATATAAGTCTGATGTTGAAATCTGGCATTTCCAGAACTACTTTTAACATACTAAATGTGCTTCCAAAATTCTGTGTTTTCCTCCTGACTTCCAGCCGTTCAAAACACCAGCATGTTCTCTTCTCCCTCTGAATGCAGGTGGGGATGGACTCGCCTAACAGCCAGCTAGGGAAGAGACTGCATAACTTCTAGCTAAACCATTCTGATTTGTTTCCTTTTCTTTCTTAACAGGATCCAACAGCTGCATCTATTTCGGACAGAGACTGCGACACGAGGGAGGGGGAGACTGTAGCCATGAACTATAAGCCGTCCCCACTGCAAGTGAAATTAGGTGAGTCTTTGCTGATAGAGAGTAAAAAACCTGAATCCAAGGTCTGAAATATGGTGAGGTCCCTTGTGGTATTTCCATGTGTGTGGCTGAGCATCCGAGCTCAGCTCAAACAACTTCCAGAGCAATTTTATCTGTGATTCTGCTGCTCGGGGGACTGGCCTACAAACATGTAAGAACTGTCTGTCTTGGGCTGTGGTAGAGGAAGAAGCTATGCCTTTGAAAGGAAGCATAACTTTTTAAACCTACAGGTTTTTATCAAGCTAAGATCAAGGCTTTGCCAGTTAAAGAATGCAGATAATATATAGGGATTGTAAAGAGAAGAGCAGATAAAATAACTGCAAACAAAAGTGAAAGGATCAGAGACTTGGGCCACTACCAGGAAAAGACAGAGCTGTGTTACTGTGAGAAGGAGGGCTTCTAGATTAGTACAAGTTCACATACAAATACTCCTGCTGTTTCTGAGCAATATTTTTTTTAAGTTCTGGAAGCAGAATTGTCCAGTTAGGACAATACACTGCTTCCTTGCAAGACTAATGTGTACAAGAAGACAGTAATTCACACATGGCTGTCCTGCTTCCAAAACCTGAGACACTATTGTGTCACACAGACTGAAGAGCCTGATGAAGAACAAAGGTCAAAGGAACAGTGTGCTTTTTGCTCAAAGCATGGATAAAAAACTGGGAATTTAAGTCTGGAAAATTTCCCAGTAGGAGCAGGATGCAGTCTCCTGGTTGTCCTTCACATCAGAACAAGTTGCACTGACAGAATGATTCTGGAGCTACGTGAGCATGACTATGCCAAGTTGGGGCAGGTTCAGAAAGAACTGGGTGCCCAGTTGTTCAGTGGGAGAGCTCTGGACTCTACCACATCAATGAGAGGGAAGGTCATAAGACAGCTAAAGTTTGGAGAAGATTTAGGAAAGTTTGGGCATTGATATGTGATTATGAAGAGATGTTCTTGACAGACACATTTTACTCAGGGACGTGCAGTACTACTGCAAACACTGATGTTTGCTTCATTTGCAAGAGGAGCCTGGAAGAAACACCAGGAAAAGGCTGAGGAGCACTTGTGAAGTCTCAGGGCTCTGCCTGAGTACATGGTAAATTGAATAATCAGACAAATCTGGTTGTAGCACTGCAGGAAGGAATGTCATGGAGTAGACCCATGGACAGCAAAGGAAAATAGAGTAGTTGAATAGTCAGGGAAAGTTGAATATACACACACACAGCAAGATCATGCAGCAAAGTGGAGGACCTTGAGCTACTGATGGAGGATTTCAGCAAGTGCATTGGAACAGAAGGTCTGTTCTGCAGTTGCAGTCATGAGTGCTCTGAAACCAGTGGCTACTTTTCAGGAAAAGGCAGGGAGCAGCAGTATGTGTTATTGACAGCTAAACTCACAGTTATGTAAAAGGTTATCACTGCCAGCATGCCATGTGCCACCAGGATCCTTTTTCACTGCCTAGGGAGTTCTGTAATGTTATTAGAGATAAAATTACTACTGCAATAGTTGTTTTGGGTAATTTAATACCAGGAAACAGGTTGGAGAGAAATTTATTGTATTGTTGGTAAAACTCAGATATTCTTGCATTTCTAGTCAATAAAAATATCCCCCAGAGGTTCTCTAACGTGACAGGAAATTGTAATATTTTAGAGGTGGCTTTGGTAAGTCATGACATTATAGGAGACCTAATCATAAGAAATAGGTTTGAATTCAGGGATAACAATTTCAATTAATGCAAATTAAATTAAAAAGTAATTTGAGGTTGGTCTGTAACAAAATTCCATTTTATGAACTAATAACTTAAGCAAAATCAGTAGTTTGTTTGTCTCAAAACAGATCAGATAGTGCTGAAGGATAAAGTATCAGAAGAAGGGACATTGCTGATGGAGTTGTCCAACAGTCATTTCATTTATTTATTTATTTATTAATAACTTGCACACAAAAAGCAGGAGTTGACAAAAAAAGCATAATTGTTTTTGGGAGACACCAGTACAACAAAGTGTCAGAAATACCATAGAGAAAAAAACCATGAAAACTGAAATAACACAAACGAGAAAATTAAGACAGAAGAAACTCAATCTACTGTAAACTAGAATTTACCAGATGGAGGTGACTAAGGAAGAGGACTCCTATTATGTCAGTTGATTGCAAGGTAACTATTAAAATGTACTAATATGTGAACATATGCCATAGTCACACTTCTGCGGAGTTCACCATCTTTTTTTCTAAGGATCAAAACAGAATGATTAGTCCTTTTGCCAAAATTTCTCTCTTTCCACATAGGAATGAAGGGTCTGAACAGTTTTTGCAGTAGATAGAAGTGTGTCATTGTCAGGATCTCCTTTCCAGCCAGTGCTCCTGCCCAGTGAATACTCAGTGCTGACCACAATGTGCTTCTGAAGGTAATAGTGGGTGAAACCTACCTGCTTAAGAGGAATTGTCTTAGGAGGCTGACGAGCATCTTCCTGCTCTGTCTCTCCAGAGAAATCAGTTCAAACGCCTCTCTCTCTGCCTGTGGAAACAGTGTGCTTCTTTACTTAGGTGAACTCATGTCTAGTGGCATTCGGATTGACTCTCTATTCTTAGTGATGCCAAGATGAGCTCTAGGTTACCTGGGGAAAAACAAGACTATCAGCATTGTCTTTAGCCAGTGTAAGATGCCTTTAATCCACATCAGTTCCTGCTGCTGTTATTCTTAAAATCTGCCCGACCTTTAGAATTTTCAAGCAGTTTAATGACTCGCATCTCTTGGCTCTCTCCCCTGTTCCTCCAGCTAGTTTGGTTTGGGGTTTTTTTTGTCTCTTCTGCATTAAGCTTATCAGGATTTTGATTGGTTTTAATCTCTTTAAGGCTAGACAAAGTTAAGGTAGTACATAAATGTTTAATACCTTAACTGTCTGGGCCATTGTTGGGAATGGTAGCAACTAGGATTTTAATCCTATTGCAAGTTTTCCATATGGACAGTGGCATTTTCCACTGTTAAATCAGAATCAATTGTTCAAATACCAAATGCTGTGATGCAAGGTTGATAAATGTCATTTTTCGCTCTCTGAAGATCTGTGTATAAATCTGTCATATGTGCTTGCTGGAAGACTGGTTCAGAGTGAGCTCAATTAAATACCAACCCAGCATGAATACAGCTCTTGCTTCCAGAGCCCAGGGTGACTGGTGAGCGACACAAGCAGTGTGCTGTGCTGCACACACTATGCACGCATTTATCCTGCTGCTTTAGTGGTCTTTTCCTTGGTTGTTTCTCCCCCCTCTAAATAAATACATTCGGCTATGTTTTTGCTTGAGGGATCAGTTAGATTCAAGGAAAACCTCACTGGTGGCTTATATTTCTAGTGGGTCCCCAAAGGTTGCATCTGGTTTATAAAAGGAACAATGAATGTTGCTGCTGGGGTCACATTGAGAAGATAAGAACCTCACGCCAAGGGAGAATAACATCTCCAAGTTAGTGTAGCTCATAATCTTAAACCTTTGCTGATATTATGTTAATATTATTTGTGTATTTCTTGCTTTTCTAACACTGCTACTTTGTCTTTCTCTCAGGAACTGTAAGGTTCAGCCATGCTTCTTTCTTGCAAATCACTTGATAATGAGGCTCCCCACAGCACTGTGGGGGGCTGGGTGTCCATTAGTGCTTAGAAGATGTCTCCAGCATGTCCTTATTAGGAGGCATATGCAGATGGAGCACATACCACAAGCCTTTTGAAAAGAGAAGAGAGTTGTGACAAGGAGAGAGGGAGGAAAGGAATAATCCCCAAGTGTAAATCTCAGGGGCTCTGTATCCACTGGAAGGCAACAGATCCTCATGGGATCCCCAGGAGACGAGATATTATTTTAATGAAGCTTACGCCATCTGTTTTTCTGGTTTGCATTTTTAATTTTCCTTCTCTGCACTGAAATCCCCATCCAGACAGTCTGTCTGTCTTACCTAGCAGTCAGTGACCTGACAGTTCATGTCAGAACTGAACAGGCAACATGGCATTTGGCTGCAGTGCTGCAGAACAGGCTACAGTGGCAATGAGGGATTGTGGCAGTGGCATCTTCATCAGCTCATCCACCACCCCAGGAGCTGGGCAGCAAATCTCCCACATCTCTCTCTGCAGGTGAACATAGGGGAGAGAACACAGGGGATGAACTCTGATAGTAGCCCTCATCCCTCTGAGTTACCTGTTGCCTTAGCTGTGAGCACCTCTTCTTCTTGGACTAGGTAGAGAATGAAGCTGGTTTCGGAAGATTTCACAGTGGGGTGCCTAAAAGTGTATGAAAAATGAGTGTTTAAGCTAGGCAAACTGGGTACCACTTAAACTGCATTTAGATGGGTCTCCTGGCAGGTGACCAAGAGGAAGCCTAGTTCATATTGATGCAGGCTTGAAGGTCTTTATGTGTTTTTTTTTAATTTTAGATTTTCTTTGCAAAGCTTCTTCTAATAAAGTGACCTGAATTGCAAATGTAGGAGATAATTTTCCTGCTTTCCTAGCTGCTGTTTTGTTCCCCTACCAGCTTAGAGGTGGGGATAAATAACAAGGCTGGTTATTTATCTTAATATCAAATATTACAGTGGCTGGCTCATACTTCAACCCCATAAGGGGAAGCAAATGTCACGAAGTTGTCTTTGGTGTAAACTGCTGTAGCTCAAGTATGTAATCCACCAGCCTAGCCAGAAACTCCATTTGCTTCAAGAGGCAGGAAGCTGTAGTAACACTAACAGAGAAGACCTGTTTCATTAGTTAATAGGATACTAACACTTCACTACTGCCAGCTGCATTCTAGGATGTTCCTCTTTTTTTTTTGTAGGAGACACAGTGCAGCCTGCTCTTAGTGCAGGTCACCCACAGCCCAGCTACTGCTGGGACGGAAATGCTGATTGCCAGGAGCTTAGACCTGTTGCTAGGGTGAGCATAAAAGCCTCTTGATCTACCCCAGCCTGGCCTTTTGTCTTTCTGTGTGACAAGAGAGAGATGAGAGCAAGTGAAAGGCCATAGAGCTGC